ATTACGTGTCCTAAAAATTTCAACTGTCTCTTCCTGATGTTTCAAGGAACTTATCTGGCTAACATAAATTATTTGTTATATGTGTTAGAATAAGTTACTTGAAGTTAATTTCATTGATGATATATATATATATATATGTGTGTGTGTATGTGTTTGTGTATATATATATCACTTTAAACTTTTTTTAAGTGGATACTCATATCTGAGTAGACGTTCCATTTATTTATTAAACATTATATATTAATTTAAATAAATATACTGTTTAATAAATAAATGTAACATTAAATATATATATATATATATATATATATATATATATATATATAGAGAGAGAGAGAGAGAGAGAGAGAGAGGGGGGGGAGAGAGAGTAAAAAACATTTTGAATTTACGGAACTATATACATCCACAGATATTTTAACACTCGAAGAAGTTCTCAGATGAGATTGAAAGTAAAACTGAAAGAAAATTTTGGAATTTTTCGTAATCAATATTCTACAGTTAGCAAGAAATTAATTTGTTGACTTGAAAGGATTAAAAGTAAAATAAATTGGCATAATACATCTAAATTATTTAACCAAGCCTGCTTGAATATATATACATATATATACATATAAATATAGATAACTAGACTCGTTTCGAAAAACCCTCGAATTTTTGATTTGCTAATCAAATCAATCTCGAGGGAAAAAAGGTTTTAAAAAGAAAGAGCTACAAACATGAACTTCCGCCGACAAAAAATCGCACAGATACAGGTCTGAAGCCCAAAGAAAAAACCCTGATACGAGTAACAACTAACTAACAAAAGAGCTCAATACAACCGTAGAGCAGACCTAGATACATTTAGTGAGCCAGACAAACCTACAGAGTTTCATTAAACGGATCGTCAGGAAAGTTACTTTCCTGACGATCCGTTTAGGTGAAACCTAGGTAGGTTTGTCTTGCCTACTATATATATATATATATATATATATATATATATATATATATTAAAGACATTTTTTTATTATAAAAGAGCATTTACTTAAATACTTGTATCTATAAAAAGAATGTTAAACATAAAAAAATGTCTTTAATAAATTGTCGGACTTTGTCCAATTCTTAATATATATATATGTTGATAATATTAGTGGTTTCTATATATATATATATATATATATATATATATATATATATATTTCCAAGTGGATAAAATCCAGGTAGAGCTCTATGTACAAGACACAGCAAGAATATAATATAAAATGCTCAAACACTGATATTCCATGGTTATAATTTATTGCATTTGTAGGTCTGATGATTTGGATCGTGATTACGATTCCAATCTAATAAATTACAGGGATGGAATATTTATATTTGAGCCTTTATATATATATATATATAATGCTACATGAAACTTCATCCGTAGGGTAAAACCAGACTTAAAATTTGTTTTGTCTGTCATAACACTCCTTTATTTAATGGCTTCAGGAAAGATAATGGAATACTGCATGTTCATTGGAAAACGGCCGGGAAGAATTTTCTATATACATTATATTAATATAATACTAATATAAGTATACTAACTTTATATATATATATATATATATATATATATATATATATATATATAGAGAGGGATCGAGAGAAGAGAGACAGAGAGAGAGTGGAATCTGGGAGCAAAAGGACACTGTTTTCTATTTAAAAGGGCAAATATATATTGAGTTAGTATACTTATATTAATACTATATTAATATAATGTATAGTATGAATTCCATTATCGTTCCTGCAGCCATTAAAAAAGGATAACAGACAAAAAACAAATTTCAAGTCTGGTTTTACCCAGCAGATGAAAATTCATGTAGCATTATGCAGTAAAAACAACCACACAATATCTCTCTCTCTCTCTCTTATATATATATATATATATATATATATATATATATATATATATATATATATATACGTGAGGAGTGTGCGAGTGTGTGTGTTCCAATATAATGTTTGAGAAGCACTCAAGGTTACTGTTAAAATCGTTATTATAAATAAAGTGTATTCTATGAATGTAAGAAGAAGTGATATCTTTTTTTTAAACGTTTCACCCCAAGCAAGGCGGGAAGCCACCAGCGTGCAAGGGGTTACAGAGAGTTGGAGCGAGAGCAAATAGTGGAAATGGTGAAGAGAAGGGCAGGGGAAAGATCAAGGCATCTGGAGTATGAAGTAAAGAATATGAGGATAGGGAGGATAGATAATAACCTTAGATTTGAAAATGTGAAGATTGTAGTGTTCAGGAAATCATCGGCGCTGTAGCATTTTTTTTATCGGTATCATCCCATGCAAGATAATAAAGCCACTAAGACACAAGGTATTACCGGTAGCGGAAAAATTAGGAACAGAAACCTTAATAATGAGCGGGAAGAGGAAAGAGTAATTAAGTGGTCAGGAGATAACGATTGACTTTGCATTTACATTTTTGCAGATTAAAGTTGTCTGTAAAGTATGAAGGCGGCAGGGAGTCCCACGAGTTAGAAAGAAGCTGTTAGCGTAGAACTTACGGCTAATATCTAGCCAGCTCAGCTGTAAATTGATGGCATCTTGATGCCAGTCTACTGCGCTTAAAGAACACAGACTAATGTAATAAACAGTTAATCGTTAACTCCCCGGTATTTACTCGAGATCTCCCTACAAGACGGGATGTGACATAAAGCCGGTTTTTTACAAGGGGCGTTCCGAGCGCGTAGGCTCAGGCAAAAATTGCTTGTAGATCCCGTATACACTGGGTCGGGTAGCTGCCTATCTCCCCAGACGAGACTCTGCCCTTCAGCATAGCCTCGCCTGGGTTCCTCTCCGCCCAGAGGCAGAGAGTCGACAAGAAGAGTTAACTGTAATCATTAACTCCCCTCACTCAGTAAGAGTGAGAGAGTGCTATTTAAATAGTGTTAGGCTAGTCTGTCTTGTGGAGGTGTTCAGCTATTCCACAGCAATTTTCTAACCGGGCACGGACTTTTGCAATGTTCTAATATTTCTTTCTGAACAAAGAGCTGCTTGAGTTACATTTTTATTTTCCTTAAATAAAAAAATTATAATATTCCTTATTTTCTTTCAACTTCAATACTAGAATCGATGAAAAGTATATAGATTAACTTTTATTATTATAAAATACACATGTTAAAAAGCAAAGAAAATCGACGATTTCGAAATATTCAAATTGTATGTTAAAAATAAACACTACTAAAATCATCTAACATCAGAAGACAAAGAAAATTTTGTTGAACCTAATATATCAGTTTCCTTTCTTGAGGTTTCTTTTATTTTTTTTTAAAGGCCATGTTACTTCAGGACGTGGGCAAACATGGCTTACTTACCTTTATTATCTGTGAATTACAATGCGATTTTGAAAAAAAAAAACTAATGAGGTGGTTTTCCGATACTTTCTCCACGGTCTGGAATTCAATATTTCCGTTCTCTTAGAGTAATCGCAATCCAAGGCTTGAGAGCCGAGACTGCACTGCTATTTAAACCATAATTTGGTAGAGAAAAAAACTGACCAAGCCTATTCAAAGGCATTCATGCGAAAGTGAACGCAGGAGGCTAGATTAGAAATTGAAATTGAACTCCGTTCGCCGATTTCACTTTCCGTAACGATATCCGGATATACCCCGCCTCCGGTTAGGGTCATACTTATCTTGTCCTAACCGAATAGGAAGAGAAGAAAGGTTTATTAAGCGTAACAAAAAAATGTCTCACGACAGAAAGAAAAAGAAAGCATTGGGTTATCTCCCTTGGCGGGTTTCGTATCATGTTTTCGTCAAAGGTTATAGTTACATCTTTATTATATTGAGTGGTGAAAACAGCAAACAAATGTAAACATTGACAGAATATTGACAAACGGGCATTTTTATTACGACAGCTGTTATCTTTTGTAGTTATTGCAGGAATCGAGGTGAAAATATATTAGATGTTAGACCGACAAGCAACACAAGAGAGAGAGAGAGAGAGAAAATATTTTTGTTGGAAAGGACTTGTACGAGCGAAAGAAAATAAAAACTAGAAGTTCTTGTTGCTACAAAGCATAATGTATACACCACAGGGACATTTTCTAACACGGCCATAAGTCGAAAGAAGTGGAACCAATTTTTGCCATCGAAGTGTGTCAAAACTATTGAATTTCTAGTATGAGTAAATCCAATACTGTTTCTTTGGCGTGACTTTTTTTTCTTTTCTTTTGGGAAGCAGTAAAAGACAAGCGATTTCTTTATTTGATCTTGTTAGGTCCCCCGGGCATTACAGCAACGGATACTTTTCCTACGTGCAAGGCCACTTCGCTTTCACAGAGAAATCTTTTCTCTCTCGCTGGATGTGCGGGTAGTACAACGGAAACAGAAATCGGGGAGCGGAGTTCAAATTCTGGTCGAATTCACTACGCTCACTTTCGCACAAATAGCATTAGGGGATGATATAGATCTATCAATTCTCATTCTAGTTAAACGGGAAGGCAGAGTAAGCTCCCATGCCTTGCGGGGAAACCGAACACAGGAGAAAACTCAGAATTCAAATACAACCTGAAGAGGGATAGGCTTCGTCAGGTTATCTTGCCTGAGATACACCTCTGTTGCAGTACATGTGGCGTCGTCCATACCATCTTAACGGGATACGCTCGTGACATCTGTTCTCTTTCTGATAAATTGTATTATATTCATAATATTCTCTTTTGCATTATTTTCTGACAACTAACATTGCGTTTATTACAGACGAAATGCTGAAAGTTTAGATTAAAAACTGTAAAAAAATATCGAGTTTTGTACAGAAAAAATAAATGGTAAGTAACGGTGTGGCAGCAAACATCATTGTTCAAGAATGAGAAACTCCATAATTCCTAAATGGGTTTCATGGATTCAAAGAAAGTCAATGTTGAAATCCGAAAGTATAAATTTATAATTAACTAATATGCAGACAGTGTTGGAAATAAATTAATATCTATCTAGTTTTTAATAAATCATGCGTATAATATATATTTCATAAACGAG